CTTGAGTCACAGGTGCCAAGCCCCAACATTTTTATTTCAATGTACCATAAAGAAAAATGGTACTAAAAGAAACTGCCAAGTGTTCAGAAATGCCTGACTATTCCCCAGGGATAAATAACTGCATAGGTGAATGATGAGAAAATTTATGAATACAAACTATGAGAAATCTGGTGTTAATTTCAATAACTATGTTGTATTATAAAGTGGGAAACTTAAAGGCTTTCTGAAGCACAGAGACCATAGTTAACATCCTGGTGAGAAAGATTAACAAATGATATATATGATGAAAAAATGTCTTTAAAATTTCTTTCTGTTTCTTTGGAGAGATTAAAGTCTGCTATGTTGCTCAGGGTCGTCTTGAACTCTTAAAGGGATCCTCCTGCCTCAGACTCCCAAAGTGCTGGGATTACAGGCAGGAGCCACCATGCTTGGTCATTGTGACTAAATTTCAAAAGGAACTTCTACATTCACAGGTAAAATCTATCAAAATTCTTGAGAATTTTAGCATATAATCACCTTAAATTTGTTTATATTTAGAAGGGCCAAGTACATGTCCTGCCTAATATAAAACTGAAATCAGATGGAGAAATTAAAGCCCAAATCGAAACAATTACCTGTACAATTATATCCATTCAAAAAACTACGAAGAATTGGCTTAGTAGTGTGCTCAAAAACTTCCACCTGAGTTGAAGTTTCATCAAAAACAGCATCAAATACAAATTTCAGATCTTTATTTTGTCTCTTCATAATATTTCGATTTGCAATTTTCTTGCCATGGAAAAAATTGACTTCTTCTTGTTTGGGATCAAAAACCAGGATATGTTTATCCACAACATGAACTACTTTATGGAATCCAGCTGCCTTTTCTTTTGTGTTTTCAGGACGTACACGAACAACTACTTTCATGTGATGACACAGGCCTTCCTCAGTGACAGACATTGTTGATTATTTGATTCCTGTTTATATATATGCTTGAATATTTCTCTGAAATTAAAGAGGAAATAAAGTTTTAATATTAGCAGCTTTACTTGTATGTATGTAACTGGCATGTAGTACCAGTTATTAACAAAAGGTGTTCTGTTCCAATCATCTGGTATATGTTACTGGGGAAATATGTATCCATACACACACACACACACATATACATACATATATCTGTGCACACACACCTATATATACACATGCATATGCCCTTAAATACTCTGAACAAAAAATTAAATGGCACACACATACACAAAACCATGATAAAAGTCTCTTTATTTGAAATATTAGTAAGACCCTGTGCTTCAGCTTAAACTCAAATACTATAGCTGAACCACATAAAAGCACAGCTATGCTACCCAAAACCCCAGCTTTGAGTTTTACAAGGGCTCCCGCACTATTTTAGTTTGGGTCATGGGAATGTACAGGAAAGTCTCTCTCAGAATCCTATCAAGGTAATGATGGGAGAACCTAAGCTTGTGAAGTATTTTTAGTAAAGTGATCTTGGCTGCAAGCCTCTTGGCAGTGGAAAGTGATACATCCAGGCTGATACACCTGTATCTCAGACACCCATAGGGTTAAGAATAGTTCTGTGGACTCCTCAACTAACTAGCTCAGGTCTGAAAGTGAACAAGATAGCACATACTTCTTAGTGTTTCAGAGATCTTAGTCTCTGAATATACATACGAATTTCCAGTTTCTAATGATATTCAATGTTTTAGGAATTCATGATAACTGATTTAGAAATTATGGTCTGACTTTATGATGGCTCATATGAAAAGAGGAAAAGCAAACAAAATAACAAAGATCAATAATTTGGAAGTCTCAACTATCCAGAGAATAATCTAGAATCTAAAAGATAAAAACATAGAAAACTCCAAAATATCTTTAAAAAAACCCAAAACAAATATCTGAATAAGGACTAAAAGGAGGCGATAGAATTACTATGACCCAGCAATCCCATTTCTCAGTATATATCTAAAGGAATTAAAATCAGTATGTTGAAGAGATGTCTGTACACTCACATTCACTGCAGTATTATCCTCAATAGCCAAGATATGAAAACAATCTGATTGCCCATTAGCAGATGAATCAATTATATACATATAATGGAATACTATTCAGTTTTTAAAAGTATGAAATTCCGTCATTTGTGACAACATAGATGAATCTAGAGGACATTATGGTAAGTGAGAATCAGCCACATAGATGTGGCTTTTCTGTGTCTTTCAGGCACAGAAAGGCAACTATCATATGACCTCATTGTATGTGGAATCCAAAATTTGAACTCATAGTAGAGAGCAGAATGATGGTTATCAAAGGCTGAGGGGGAAGAGGGTGGGTGGAAAAAGGATACAAAGTTTCAATAAGACAGGAGAAATAGTTCTGGTGTCTACTGCACAGGAGGGTAACTACAGTTAATAATCATTTATTGTATATTTCAAAGTCACTAAGAGTGGATCTCATATGTTTTAACCACAAAGAAATGATAAATATGTGAGGTGGTGGATATGTTAGATAGCCTGATTTGTTCATTCCACAATGTGTATGTGTATGGAAACATCACATTCAACCTCACAAATATATATATATATATATATGGCAATAAAAATTAAAATAAGAGTAAAAAACCTACCACAAAACAGAATTTGAGTAAGAACTTAAAGGAGGTGAAGAAGTTAGGCAGTTATTGGGGGAAGCGCTTCCTGATGGAAAGGATGGAAGGTTTTGAGTGAGATAATCTGATCATACTGCTGGGTAGATAAAATACTACATAGGAAATAGAGACTATCCAGCGATCCTCAAACTTTTTAAACAGGGGGCCAGTTCACTGTCCCTCAGACTTTTGGAGGGCTGGACTGTGGGCCTGGGACTAGTCGGCTGCTAAGCAGGACAGGCAGCGGTGGCAAAAACACCCGGGGGAGGGCCGGATAAATGTCCTCGGTCGGCCGAATGTGGCCTGTGGGCCGTAGTTTGAGGATGCCTAGACTAGCCCATTGAAGTAATATGGAGATGATGGTGTCAGCTCAGAAAGGGGCAGTGACAACAGAGGTGGTGTGTAGCCATACTCTGAAAGTAATACTGACAGAATTTTCTGATAAGAAATTAATTTTAAGGGCAGTGCCTGTGGCTCAAAGGAGTAGGGCGCTGGCCCCGTATGCCAGAGGTGGTGGGTTCAAACCCAGCCCTGGCCAAAAACTGCAAAAGAAAAAAAAAAATAAAAAAAAACCCCAGAAATTAATTTTGAGGTATGGTGGCTCATGCCCTGTAATCCTAGCACTCTGGGAGGGTGAGGTGGGTGGACTGCCTGAGCTCACCAGTTTGAGAACAGTCTGAGAAAGAGTGAGACCCCATCTCTAAAAAACAGCTGCGCATTGTGGTGGGCGCCTGTAGTTCCAACATCTCAGGAAGCTAGAGAATCACTTGAGCCCAAGAGTTTGAGGTTGCCGTGAGCTGTGATGCCACGACCCTCTACCAAGGCTGACAAAGTGAGACGCTGTCTCCAAAAAAAAAAAAAAAAAAAAAAAAAAAAAAAGAAAGAAAGAAACAAAGAAATTAATTTTGGGGGAGTAGTAGGGACAAAAATTTGAATGGGAAAAGATTCAGAGACATGGAACATAGAGAGTACTACTTCAAAAGGGAGTTGAAAAATGGGTGTAAGTGGAGGGGGAAAAGGAGTTAAAAGATATATATATATATATATATATTTTAAAGTAGAATAAATAACAGCAGTATCAAAGCTAAAATGTGTCACAAATCATTCAATTTTGGAAAAAATTCAAACAAGGCCAGAGCAATCCAAAAGTAGCAGATACTGTACACAGCTTTGCCTTTTTAGGACTCTGTCTTTACCCAAAAATAGAATGCTGAAAAGGAAAGGATGGTCATTTGGATTCTAACAGTCTGGTCCCAGGTGAATTACTATTCTGTTCTTTCTTCATCCTTGAATTTCTGTCTAGCCAAGTTTCACAAAGTACCTATATCACCTCAATTCTATGACCTTGGACAAGTTACTTAACGTCACTGATTCTCAGGTTTCTATTTGTATAAAAGAGATAATAAGACCTCAAAGGATTGTTGTGAAGGCTAAAAGACATACAAGTACTAAGTGTAATATTAAAGTATTTGATAAATGTTAATTCTCTTCCCTACCTGTCCCAACTCCTACCTCTTCTTCCCAAAGAAGTCCTTGAGTGTTTCCCAATAGGTTTACAACTGGCATTTTGGGTAGCACAATTCTTCTTTGTTTAGAATTGCCCCCTATATTTGAGGATGTATTAGCATTTCTGTCCCATCTATTAAACACTAGCATTCCTTGTGATACTTAAAACTACTCTCCATACATATTTCTAAAAGCTTTCAGAAATAATTCAACAATGCTTTAACATACTTTTTTTTTTATAAAAAAAGATAGATTAAATATACACAAATGAAATGGTTAAAACAATAAAAAAAATCATGCAATTATTTCAAAATAGACCTTAGAATCTCCAGTTGGAAGGTATCTTTTGGTCAATTAGTTGATTAATTCTACAAGTTAGCTATTAGATGTTGGAGCCAGACAGCTTAGGTGGAAATCTCAGCTCTCTTACTTACTGACTATAATAGTAAGCAAATTATTTAGCCTCCTTTTGGCTCACTTTCCTTACCTGTAAAGTAAGACTACCTCATAGAGCTGAAAGGTGTAAGTAAGGATTAAGCACTTACCACAAAGCTGGGAAATTATTATTTACAGCGTAGTAAGGGAAACATATCAACAGAATATTGATACAAACATACAAAGGTATTACCGGGAAAAAGTTACCAGTACTATATAAGACAGTAATGGGGAATTCACATAGAGAGCTTTCCAGAAAAAATGACTAGAACTGAGAATCAAAGGATAAACAGTTATTAACAAAGTAGGAGCGTTTAAGAGGAAGAATTAGTTATGCATTTAGTAAACATTTGAGTGCCTTCTATGTGCTGTCACTTTTCTGAGCCCTGAGATAGAAAAGATCAGAAACCTGTATGTGGAGACTCCTTTTTAGAGAGTGGAAAAACTTTTCTGGTGGGGTGACTTTTTCGAGACTGAAGTGAGGGAGCAAGCCTCTCTGGGGCATGAGCACTCCAAGTGGCAAGTTTAAATGCTTGTGATGAGAAAGAGCTTGTGCAGAGTACACAGGTTAATAGGTTGCACCATGAATTTGCTTAAATCTGTTTCTTTTAACACGTTAGATTTAGATGAATGGATGTAATCTTATCTACAGCATCTAAAGATACTTTCAAGGGAGCTTTACTCTCTTCTGTGGCAGCTGGGGAGAACAGAGAGAAGGAAAGAGGTTGCTTGAAAAAGATAAAACTAGATAAGAATGGGGCCAGGTTTAGAAGATCTTTAATGGAAGGCTGAAGAGGTTAGATTTGTTTTGAGGGCTGGGCATGGTGGCTCACATCTATCATCCGAGGACTCTGGGAGGATGGGGGAGGCAGCTGGATTGGCTGAAGTTCAAGACCATCCTGAGCCGGAAAGTATCTTTAGATGCTGTAGATAAAATTTCATCTATTCATCTAAAACTAACTGGTTTAGAGTGGGGCCTCCCTCTCTAAATGTAGACGGGCATTGTGGCAGATGCCTGTAGTCCCAGCTACTCTGAAGGCTTAGGTAAGAGGATCGCTTGAGCCAAGAATTTGAGGTTGCTATAAGCTATGATGCCATAGCACTCTACCAAGGCTGACAAAGTTAGACTCTGTCTAAAAAAAAAAAAAAAAGATTTGTTTTGACATTAATTGGAAATTATTGCAGGCATGTTAGAAGGCAATAGGTCTTTTTTTTGAGGTTTTTGGCCAGGGGTGGGTTTGAACCCACCACCTCCAGCATATGGGGCTGGCGTCCTACTCCTTTGAGCCACAGGCACCACCCCCAATAGTTCTTATTCAAGTAAAGAAGTAAAGTTTCAGGGAGAAATTGTGACAATTACCTAAAGGTATTTAAGAAGTATAATATCAAATATAATATTGTTTTACAACATGTTACAGATTTTAACACAAACATTAATTTTAATTTTTAAAGTATCCTGTATTTCCCTACCTTTGAAAAGCAAGTGAGTGAATATTATTTTTTAATAAAAATGCCCAAGGTCAACAGAATCAAAATGTACAAATTAGTCTGTGATCAAATATACTAATACCTGCAAGGATTAATGAAATTGTTCCTACATTAACAGATATCTTCTTTCTTTTCTAACATTACTAAGAGTTGATTCTGAATATGGCATGCAGAGCAAATTCCTTGACCATGTTTAGTATGAAGCAGCGAAAGTCTAAATATTGTTATTTGTGCAATCATGTGTTGATTGACAAATTCTTTTCAGATAATTGTTCAGAAGATAGTTTAATAAACGCTGATCCATTTTGTCTTGTCTACTCCTAAGCGGCATTTGTGGAATAAAATCAAAAGAACAAATTGGTTTGATCTAATTGGTGAGACTAAAATATGAAAAATAAATACTTTTAACACCATTGTTCATTAAAATATAGGCTGAACATCCCAAATCCAAAAACCAAAACTTTTTGAGCATGTTATGACACTTAAAGGAAATTGCTCTTTGGAGCATTTCAGATTTTGCATTAGGGATATCCAATTGGTAAATATAATATGAATACTCCCAAATCCCCCCAAATCTGAAATTAGAAAACTTCTAGTCCTCAGCATTTTGGATATGGGATTCTTAATCTGTAAAGAGTATTTGTCTAGTCTAAGAGAGAGTGGGATATAAAAGAAAAAATAATGAAGGGACTTCACTAGCCTGTTTATATAAATCCTTTGTTTATATAATACAAAAGGGTTAGATTACATGGTATCTACGGTCCTTTTTTAGCTCCAAAATTTTATGATTATTTTATATGATTAGGAAAGAGTACAAGAGAATGACAAGGAATGACAGCTAACAGGACTGTTTTTACTTTCACTGCTAGTCTTTTGTAGAGAGTGGTATGTACACAGGAACAAATCAATTAATTAAGCTATAAAAAGGATTCAAAAATCCAAAAAACAATTTACCTATTTAGAGTAAAGGCAAACAAAATGTATTTCTCTATGAGAAACAACCATCACAATAAGGACCTTAAGGTATCAAAAAATGTTACAAAATGTTCCCAATTTCTTGTTTACAAAATTAGAAAAATGATCATGTTTTATTTTTAATACTGAGTGTGGTTAAAATACTTAATTACTTAACAAGGCTAATATTTAATTTTCTGGGAGAATCATTTGTGAAGAATAGCTCATACCTCTGCAATGTTGAATGAAGAAATATTAAAACCTAATTCTCTTTAATAGTTGCATTGTAATACAAACTGAGTTAAACAGACAAATGTTTAATTCATAGCATATATAGCTACTGCTCACCCTAGATAAAATATAAGCCAATTAAGAGATTCACCTCCTAATTAAATGCAAGTACAATAAATTTTATTTAAGTCATTGATTTTATGCACTGATACTTTCTTCAAAAGCAAACAGATTACGTTACATATCTCATATCATTCTCTGCTCTAAACTCTCCAAGGTCTTCTCACCATAAGAATAAAATGTAAACTCCTTACTATGGCCTGCAAATTCCACATATGGCCCCTATCTATCAATGTAACTACTTCTAATGTCATCTTCCTCATTGATTATTTTGCATTAGCCACACTGGCTTTCTCAGTGTTCCCTAACACTGCAGTCTGGTACTGGCCTCAGGGTTTTTGTATTTTCCCTTACCTTTGCCCAGAAGTTTTTACCTCCAGATATTTTCAAATCATAATCTCTTACTTCTTTATTTAGGTCTGTGTTCAAATGACATTTATCCCTTAAGAATCTATTCAAAATAGTGCCATCCTGATTTGCTCCTGCGCTCCCTTCCCAGGTTTATTTTTATTTTTACAATTTAGCACAAATTGGTAAATATATATTATTTGGTTACCTATTCATTTCCTGTTCTCTGTAGAATGTAAGCACTAGGAGAGCATGAATTTGTCTGTATTTCAGCACCCAGAACAGTGGCTTGCCAAATATTTAGCACTAATATATTCTTGTTGAGTACATGAACTAAGATAAGATTTAATAGATTTAGCATATTACTATTTGTATTTTTAAAGACATATATGTATCTGCACTCTCAGGGAGGGCACACAAGAAATTGATAATACAGTTCTCCATGGAGGAAAATTGTGGAGATCTGAGTAAGAGAGAAGCTTACTGACCATTTTATACCCTTTTGTACTATTGGCATTTTAAACAAAATCTAGATTTCTTTTTTTCTTTTTAATGACACTTGATAAAGAGGTCTAGGTATTTTTATTTAACAAAACTTACTAAAATTTACTTTAATTACAACCTTTCATTTACCAACAATGTTATAAAATACTTTTTACTGACCTCCTATCCTACAAATAGAAATGTGTTAAACAGTTTACATACTCTCATTTAATCCTCATACCAATCCTATGATATAAGCAATGTATTTACACTCCTATTTAATTGAGGGAAAAAGTATAGTATGAAAAGATTAACTGGCTAAGTCTTGCTATTGAAAAAAAGGACAGAACATGAGATTTGAACTGAGACTGACTGAATCTAAAGCTTGAATAAATTTATTAACCACTACTCTCCCTGATGTAAATATGTAACCCTTAGAAATTTTCTCATGTTAAGTTAAAAATACGTATTTGCTAACTCTTTTAGAAATTTTAAGTTCTAATTGGTAAAGATGGCAAATATTCAAGATATACAATGTGATGATTTAATAATACATCAGCACCCAAACCATATATTACATGTGTAACTTAAAATTTGCACACTTTGATCAACGTCTTCCCATTTACTCCAATTCTTAGGTCCTGGTAACTACTATTCTACTCCCTTATATTTGCCTACTTTTGAAGAAAGATCTGGGTCTAGCAAGGGTTCTCTTGAACGAATGTTGAAATAAAACTGATAATGAGTTCCCTGTCTTTGACAGATATCACACAAGAGCCATTCTCAGCAAATATGCTTTTAGAATGATTAGATTGGGTTGATATGGTGATAACTAATAATAAAGAACAACAATGATCATCCTTTGAGTACACTCTATGTGACAGGCATTATGGTAAACATTTAATGTTTATCATATCATTCAATTCTTATAATAATCATATTAGATAGGTCGTGTTATTGTCTCCATTTTACAAAAGCAGAAACTTAGCCTTAGGATAAGTAATTTTTCAAAGATCAAACAACTGTGAAGTAAGGGAGCCAAATGTGGACAGAGGTCCAAATCCAAAGTCCATGTTCTTGACAATCAGGCTGTAATGGAACTGGATGAAAAAGAAGGCTTTCAGACAGTGGTACAGAAGTAAAGCCAGTTATGAATTATTTCTTAAGTATAACCTCATACCTGAATACTTGATATTATCATTTATAGTCTCTATCCAACTTAGAGCTCTTTGGAATAAATGCAAGTCTTAAAGCCATTACTTCCACTAACTCACAAGCATCATGGAAGAATGAAAAGTTCAAATGGAGGAAAAGGCAGCACTGACAGCTGTGCTATTTTTTCCTTCTGGTTTTCCATAGGCTTAAAAGCACAAAAGTAATTTCACTGATACTCATAAAGGAATTGGGATGTATCTACAGTGAGAGAAGATACACTTTCAAAAAGAAATTTTTCTGTATTTGTAAACAGTACTTTTCATAACGTAAGAGGAGATTAATTGCTACTGCTAAAGACAGATAATCTTTGTTTACTGAAATAACTCTTATGTAAAAGTAATACAAGCATGATAACAAGCACCATCTAGTTTTTGTATCTCATATTCTCAAGTACCAAAGTTCATAAAAGCCTCTAAAAACGCAAGGGAGGGGAGTGCTGGATGTGATGGAATGACACTAGCAAATAAAACCTGTAGAGTGCCTAACATTTTACACGATCGACAGTTATCTCAAATGATATATTACACAAAATTTAATCAGTTCTGGTCAAATGGTCTCTTCTCATGAAGTAAACAGTAGTCAGCTTTAGCCTCTCTGTAACTAAGCTAATGAGCTCCTAAAAGAAAGTCTGCAGAAACCAATACCAGGCTGTGGAAGAGATGATACTCAGCGTTTATAGTTCTTCTCATTTGTAGTGCACTTTGCCAAGCACTATCTCTTCTGTACCTCACCTAATCTTCAGCAATCCCGTTAGACTGTTAGGGAAGGTGTTATTTACTGCTACAATCGGGCTCCAGGCGAGTTTCCCATTGACCAATGCAAGCTAACAGTAGAACCTCACTAGACAAAAAAAAAGTTTATGCAGTGATGAACAAAAAGTTCCCCACTTCACAGATAAGCCTAGAGGTACATTTATACGTGCGTCTGAAACAAAACATTCCGAAATTGGAGTCCCGACGCAAGTTAACACCGCAAGGTGCCTAACAGTTAAAGTCCTCTACCAAAGTCTGGGAAAGGGGCCAAGATACCCTTTAAAACTTGCCACTTCCCCTGAGAATTCAAGGCAGGAGATCCCTGCCCTTCCAGCTAAGCAGTCGGGGGCTATGCTCAGGCAGAGCTGTTCCCAAGCCGGCTCCCGAATCCTGGCTGCTTTTCACTTTCTTCCGAGGGCCCCGGACCACCCCCGAACTCAACGCTTCCGTGTTTGTCAACAAGCCCACCTGGTCCTCCAGACCTGAATCGGCAGGACCCTCGGTTCCCGAAAACACAAGTCATTAAAAGGAGCGTCCCAGAAAGGAGACTTTTCTTTTCGCGTGGTTCTCACTCACCTCAGGCCCAGGAAAGCTTAAGACGACCACCTCACTTCAATGTCCGCCTCCCGAAGGTTCAAACTCAACCACGATATTCAAACCCAAGCCAGCTTCGTCAGGACCTCATCTCATTGGCTGCCACTCTTGTGACGTCATCACGTCGGACAGTACGGCAGCGCGGTGCGGCCCGTAGCCAGGAGGCTCAGCCGAGCAGCGCAGTGAAAGCGACCTTGCCTGGGCGTCGCCGTGGCAACGAGAGCGGCCGTTTCCGGAGGCGGTGGCCTAGGTGGGCGGGGTTACGACAGAGCTTCTGGTGGGAGGCAGCCACCTGGCATGGTCGGGAAATCTCCAGACAGGCAGGTGCAGAGTCGGGTTCCTGGGTTCAGGGTGTGAGTGAGACTGTTGAAGACAGCGGCCTGTGCCTTCTGCTACGGGCAGAGGCGGAGTCTGGTGTGAATTAATGGGTTCTGGGTGTTTATTTTCTTCTTTTCCGTTGGAAATACTCTCTTGGAAATAGTGAGGCCTGTTTCTTCTTCCTGGAGCAGTGAGGCCTCCAAGAAGTTGTAGGGACCTGTTTCTTTCAGCCACATTTACTTGGGCCAACCTGTGGGATGTCTTCATCTGAATTAATTGGAAGTCCTGGTCTTTTTGTTTGAGGGCCCAGGCCTACTCTCGATAGTGCTGACTGCGAAACTATTGGATAGTTAGCTACTTTTTAGATTCTTTGAGAGACAAAATAAATTCATTTTAAGTTTTTGGCCTAGGTTGTTATTGGATGAAGTGTTTGTTTCAAATCCCAGGTTGTGTGTGTTATTTCCAAAGAGAGTATACCTGGAACAAATGGAAACATGGTTTGCTAAGATAGTTTTTTGTTTTGTTTTTGGAGACAGGGTCTTCCTCCATCACCCAGTGCTGTGGTATAGTGGTATCATTATAGCTCACAGCAACCTCAAACTCCTGGGCTGAAAGGATCCTCCTGTTTCAACCTCCCCACTAGCTGGAACTGCAGGCCCACACCACTACTCACGGCTATTTTCAGTTTGTAGACATGGGTTTTCACTCAAGCTGGTCTCTAACTGCTGGCCACAAATGATCCAACCCCCCTCAGCCTCCCAAAATGCTAGAATTACAGGCGTGAACCACCATGCCCGACCTCATTTTTATTTGGCTGGATATTTACCATAGCATGATCTGAATTTCACTGTTCTTTTTACTACAATTACACAACAAAGTCAAAATCCCTGTCCTCTTGGAATTTATATTCAAGATCATTTTATAAATAGGATGGCAATATCAATGCAATAAATATACCACTTATTTCTGACTGTATTACATGAATTTTAGCTAAAGAAATGGTTATATATGTGGTGCTGGGCTTGGTAATAGAGAAGACTTTTTTTTATTCCAAATATGCACTTGCTGTATATAGTCCCTTACTTTTGATATCCCCATTATTATTTACTTTACATGTCATCTAATTTAATTCTCAAAACAGCCCATGAGATATAGGTACTGTTCTCTTCATTTTACTGAGAGAAAACTGAAATTTTGAGAAAATCCCTACTGTAAAAAAATTATCTCGAACTGTACAAACAAGCCAATTCAAAACTGTCTCCAAAATGATTTCTTCATTAATGTAGTCTGAAAATATGCATAGCTTGCCAATTTCTTGTAAAAGTGCATCGAGTAAGTAAAAGTGTTTCAAGTTTTGTCTTTTTAAAAAACACCTATTGTATAAGGCTTATTAGTTTCAGGTGTTATCAGTTATCAGTGTTCAGATGATGAGGCCTGTATTCTCCAGGAATTGTACATATTGTTAAAGCAGAGATATTTGAAATTACAATTAATGCTATTACTGTGCCGGGGGGCTACTATATTTTGTCAAGACGTTAAAGTGCAAGCAGACAGGCCATGAGAATGGTTCATTTTGTAACAAAATGAAGAAAAAGAATGAAACGTTCTAAACAGCTAAGGAGACAAATTCCCATCTCTTGTTAAAAATGGGACTCTACATAGTGTTGTTAGAACAAATTCAATTTACGTCCATAGTGAACTGAAAAGTAGAAGTAAGGATGGGGGGGGATTTAAAGTTGCCTCACACATTAAAAAAAGAAAAGAAAAGTAAATTTAAACATGGCAGTGGTGAGGTCTTATTTATTCCTCCTAGGAACTTCGTTTGGAACTTCAGCGCCAGCAAGATTCCTTTGGAAGCAACGGAACCAAAGGCAAGCGGTCCTCGGTTGCTGGGACGGACGTGGGTTCTATCTGTCCGTTCTCACAAGTTTCCCCTAGGGCTGGGACCTAGATGTGCAGCAAGTTCAGGTCCTCCAGCACTATAGTTTTCGCCGCTGGCCCAAGTTAGAGGCCAACTGAAAAATCGTCGTGCCTCAGGTGAGGAGAGGTTAACTGAGTCTCGGGAGCTCTGTTGGAAAACACCCCCCTTTCGGGGGTCGCTGGATTCGCCCAGGTCAAAGGAAATGCACCCTCTCGCTCCCTTTCCGCAGCACGCCTTCAAGTTGAGTTTAGAAGTTTTTAAATAGTTTTCCCTCGTCAGAATATAATTCTTAGGCAAAAGGATGTATTCTTCCTTTTTCTTGGAGCTTCTTTCACTTTCTCTGCTTCCCGGTGCCAGTCTCCAACCAAGTTGCGAATTAATGTTTTCAAAGAGAATTTCCCCGCAGAGAAAACTGACTGCACTGAGGCTAATTGCAAGCACCCTTGAAATAGTCTTCATAGGTATCACTTATTTTTTGTGTTCCCACGATTAATCTGGCCAATTTTGTGGTCTCAACATCTCAAACTGAATTTTGCTGGTAAAGAAAAGTTAAATGACTTACCCAGGACACCACATATTCATTTTTTCTGACTCCCTGCTTCCTTCCTATGACCAGAAGAAATTTTAACGGTCTTTAATCATTTAGGATGGCTGGCTCCAAAAAGGCTACGGGTGGGCTTTGGTTTGTATGGTGGGAGATGGGCTGCAGAGGAGGAGGGAAGTCCCTTTAGGCTCAAGAGCTTGTTCCTTTCAATTTTTAGGGAATTATTCCAGGAGACAACCAAGAGAAAAAAAGAATTATTTGTGGCTCTTCCTCCAAGTTGCCCCAAGTTCCTAGCCAATTAGTTTATAATAAAATCCTCAGTCATTGCACCCTGGCTGTAGTTAAATACATAGAAATTATGTGTAGTAGAAAAATTTAAATGCTGCTGATAGCATTTTTACTATCTGTTTTTCTACTTTTCTTTGTATCGTTTTATTCTTATATTGGAATTGATGCTGCTTTTAAAAAAATGATCAGAATATAGATGTATAGGTTGTTTATTCCAGATTCTGCTATTTAGGCCTGTGCATGATGTGTCCTTTATTGAATACTGTACCTTATAGCATACTGTTATTTCCAAGTAGAGTGCAGGGTCAAGCCATAGGATCTGGGTCTTTAAAAAAAATTGATTCTAACTTAGGAGATGTCTCAGAAGTACCATTAAATTACATGGGTGCATTAAATAGTTTAGTGAACTATGTTTATTGCATGGGATTAAGATGTCATGGTATGGGGACAGACTGCTTGTGTTATAATTCTAGCTTTATGGTTTTCTAGCTGTGTGACCTTTGGCAAATTTCTGTTTTTCTCATCTGGAAAATGAAAATAATACCTCCAAAAGTTGTGGTAAGGATTGAATGAGTTACTACATGTAATGTGCTTGGAAAGTAGGTGGTACTTAGTAAGTGCTAAGTGCTAGCTATTATTTTTTTAAAAAGTTAGAAACACTAAGTTGAAGGGTAGTTCACTTTTTTTGGTATAAGGTTTCTAGAAACCCAGGGCATCATTAATAATTTGGGTAATAAGTACTGCTGATTATCCCCAAATTTACTGAAAGTAATGATTTATAGTATTTTTTTTTTTTGGCCACATTTTTCCTTTGTCACATTTGACACTTAATTCTATGTATTAGGTCTTTGGTAAAGTTAATGTATTATGCTCAAAGTTACATCTTCTTGATTTTATATTGATAAATAATATATTTCTCTCTGTCTTAGTTATTACATCTGACCAAGATTTCAGCATTACTGTGCATTTTTTATTGCACAGGGAAGGAAAGACATTTAAGTGGGATTTATGTTTTTTTGAGATATTTTGAGAGCATGGTTTTTTATGTAGTCACTTGGGTGAAATTTTGTAGTGAAGATTGATAAAAATGTTAATTTTGTGGGGTTTGGAATTCATTCACTCATTTTTTTTTCTAGAAAACATTTATTAAGCACCTAGTATGCACCTGATTTTGTGGGTATAAAGTTTTGGGTCTTACTCTTAAATAAGTCATTATCTGTTAGGAAAGAATAGTGTTAATGGAGTATTTACTGTGGAGTATCAAAAATATTGCTTTGAAATGAATTGTGTAAAATGTAAAGTTTTCTAAAGGTCTTCTATTAATATATTTACATAAATACTTCTATTCTTTGTATTTTAAAGAATTATAGCTTACAGAAAAAAATGTAGTATGAGAAATTCAAGGAATGAATCAATTATTTACTTGATTGTTTTGGGGGCACAAGGGATAGGCAAGTAAAACAAAGTGGATATGAAATGTTTAAGTGCGTTCAACTGAGTTTTTATAAAGTTAGAGCTCACGGTAATATGCATATACCTCACTATTGCAGGCAGTGGTGAGGTGATTTCGTCAGAGAGTATCCCTGACAAATCTGGAAGATTTTCACAAACTGATCATCTCCATTTCTTTTTGGATGTACATGCATGGTCTTCTTCTCATAAAAAGTAAAATTGAAGATGAGAGTTTAACCTTATGAGAAGAAACAAAAGAGCTTGAAATAAAAGACCATCTGAACCTAAAATGGAATAATGTATTATGTTAATTATTAATATTATTAATTAATATTATATTAATATTAAAATAATCCTTCAGTCACTCAGATAGCTTTTCATTTCTTTCTTTTCTTTTTTAATTTTTATTTTTTAAGATGAGTCTCACTTTGTTGCTCTGGGTAGAGTGTGATGGCATTATAGCTCATTCAACCTCAAACTCTTGGGCTCAAGTGATTCTCTTGCCTCAGACTCCCAAGAAGCTGGGTTACAAGTGCCAGCCACAACACCTGACTATTTTTAGAGATGGGGTCTGGTTCTGGCTCAGTGTGATCTCCAGCCTGTGAGCTCAGGCAATCCACCCACTTTAGCCTCCCGGAGTGCTAGGATTATAAGTACGAACCACTGCGCCTGGTGGCTGGATAGCTTTTCAAATGAACTGTTTTAACTCCTTGAATCCACACTTGAGACTTAATTAAAATTTAAAAATGTGTATTTCAGAAAATTGTTGCTGAATTATCAATTTTTATATCCCTGATGGTTAAAACATTAGTGGTTTTACAGCTTATCAGGTAACATTTAAAAATTATATTTAATTATGTTCTGGGTTCTCTTAGGTTCCTTACTTTGGTAGTCACCTTCACCTTTTTAAGAAGTTCAGATGATGAGTCTTTATTAAGACTTTTTTGGTGTGTGAAATGTTGCATCTTAATTTGCTTTCCCCAAGTATTACAGTATTCTTTTTTAAAAAATATAACATTCACCATATTTAAATCTTTTTTCTAGATTTGTTGACGTACAGAATGCTTCGGTACCCTTATTTTTATAGAATACATAAGGAATTTCTTTCATGCTGGTTTGAATCTGGCATATTTAATTTATGTGTCTGGCCAAAAAAAATACATACTACAGGAGAAAGATATGATGAATATGAAGCCCAGGAGCAAACAGATCAAACTGAAGCTCAGAAGTTATACTTGTCTCCAGATAGAGATTCTGAAGCTGTGGCTAAATTACATATTCCAGTGATGGTGGATGAAGTTGTTCAATGTTTGGCACCACAAAAAGGGCAGGTGAGTTGATTAGTTTTTTATTTTTCAACATTATGTTTGAGATATAATTCATCTATCATATTTACCATCTTTAGGTGTATAATTCAGTGTATACTTACAGTGGTTTTACTCAAAATTGCTTAACTTTACAATGGTGCCAAAGTGATATATATTTAGAAGAAATCATATTTTGAGTATCCACATGACCCATCTGTTTTTTACTTTCAGTACAGTATTCAGTAATTACATGAGAGTCAGTACATTATTATAAAATAGGCTTTGTGTTAAATGATTTTGTCCAACTTTTGAGTGTGTTTTCGGTTGGCTGGGTTAAGCTATGTCTAGTAGGTTAGGTACATTACATGCATTTTTGACTTATGATATTTTCAACTTATGATTGGTTTATCATGATGTAACTACAGAGTAAGTCAGGAAGCATCTATATTCATGAAGTTGTGCGGATATCACCACTATCTAATTCAGGAACATTTTAAGGCTGGGCACTGTGCTTACTTCTATAATCCTAGCACTCTGGGAGGCTGAGGCTGGTGGATTGCCTTAGTTCACAGGTTCGAGATGAACCTGAACAAGAGTGAGACCCCGCCTCTAAAAATAGCTGGGCATTGTGGCAGGCGCCTGTAGTCACAGCTACTTAGGAGGCTGAGGCAAGAGAATTGCTTGAGCCCAAGAATTTGAGGTAGCTGTGAGCTATGATGCCATGGCACTCTACTAAGGGCCACAAAGTGAAACTCTTTCTCAAAAAAAAAAAAAAAAAGGAACATTTTTATCACCCCAGTGAGAGACCCATACCCCTGTCATTCACTCCTTCTTTCCATGGGCCCTGATAAACACTCTTCTGTTTTTTGTCTTTATGGATTTGTCTAATCCGGACTTTACACATAAATGGATTTATTAATATGTGGCCTTGTATACTCAGAATGTTTTCAGGGTTTATCCATGTTGAGGCATGTTTCTATATTTTGTTCCTTTAAATGCTGAATCATTCCATTGTTTATGTTACGTGTTGTTTATCCATTTGTCAGTTGCTAAGCATTTATGTTGTTTCCACTTTGTGGCTATTGTAGATAATGCTGCTTTGAACATTTGTGTACAAGTTTTTGTTTGGACATAACGTTTTCTATTCTCTTGGATATATGTCTAGGCGTAGAATTGCTCAATGCTTTACTTTTTGAGGATATAAGAAACTGTTTCTAAGTGTTGATTAGTTTTGTTAAATAACAGTTTTAAAAGAGAAAGAACATACAGCTGAGTGATTAGGTACAAAAACTAAATTCCACCCGTGCCTGTAAATCCTAGAACTCTGAGAGGCCCAAGTGGGATGCATATAGCTTGAGTTAAGAGCAGAGATTCTGGAATTGGACTGCCTAGCTTTGAATCTCCTATGTAGGAAATGTGTGCAGGTGCAGGCACACACAGCTCCTCTAATTTTTTTTTTTCTGAGGTTTTTGTAAAGTTGGATCAGGCAGTTTTCATGAACAAAGTTATAAGTTATATGCCTAAGGTATACTAGAATGGCTTCATGTTGCTCATACAAAAGCCATCAGTGATAGAACACGGGTTGCTTCATAAAAATATTATTGATATTCACCTTCTCGGCTCTGCACCTGTAGCACAGTGGTTACAGTGCCAGCCACATACACCAAGGTTGGTGGGTTTGAACCCAGCCTGGGCCAGCTAAACAACAATGACAACTGCGACAGAAAAATAGCCAGACGTTATAGCAGCTGCCTGTAGGCCCAGCTACTTGGGAGGCTGAGGCAAGAGAATCGCTTAAGCTCAAGAGTTGGAGGTTGCTGTGAGCTGTGACGCCACAGCACTCTACCAAGGGCTACGTAATGAGATTCTGTCTCAACAACAAAAAAAATAAATAAATAAAAAATAAATATTTACCTTTTTAGGCAGTATGTACATAAAAAATTAAACTCAGCATTTCTAATTGAGTTTATGTTTATAAAGTATCTAGATAAATGCTGTCACTTAGTAAGCACTCCAAAACGTACATAAAAATGTAAATAAAAAATTGAATTGGATAAAACTTGTTGAATGCAACTTCATCAAAGTGAAATCTCTTCATTTTCTTTAAAAATTCATAATATAGAGATAGAAATTACATCCCAAATCTAAGTGTGAGTTTTGTAAAGAGTATATTTAAATACTATACATGATATATGTCACATATATGTGTGTATATACACACAGATTATTTATATACATATCTATGTGTATATGTGGCAGGCAGTTAGCAAAATTTCTAACTGAATTCATTGGATTTAATTTACGTCTGGAATCAAAACCAAAATACATTGTATCAATTTACAGATGTCCAGTAACAAAACTGAATGTTTGTTATATTTATTTTGCTCTAAACCATGGAGTAGAAAAACAAAAACCCCCATACATCTCCCTACTAAAGCAGTATTGTATCCGCCTTTTCTCTATAACCAAATAGCATGAAATTCGACAGTTCTACAGCTTGACCTGCAGTACTGTTTCATTCTGTTCAAGTTCTTGACAAGTGTAATGTTGGTTTATTTTGAGGTTTTTGATTGTTCTGATTTGCGTTGCGTTTTCTTGTAACTTTTAATAGAAAGTTTAATTTTATGAATGTTATTTCTGAAAAATTTTTCTGTGAGCTACACTTAGAGACAATGTTATTTCTTACCTTTTCTGCTGTCTGGCAGACAGACAGCTTTATTCACTATTCCCTTAATCTTCAAGTAATAAAGAACTAGTGCCAGTCTGTGGACAGGAAAGGTCTTCATTTTCCATAATCCATTATTTGCTTCTCTTCTTTCTGAGCCTTTCCCAAAAATCATTTTCCTTTGCAAACTATGAGTCATATGCTCACTTGTATCAATCACCCACTTAATTACTATTTATTCTATTTATACTATTCACCTTCAACTGTGAATTTACAGATGAAACTTTTAATCATAACAGGAACTTTAAAAATATATAAAGTTGTTTTAAGTGAAGCCTAGAGTCATTTAATAGTTATTTCTTTTTTTTTTCTTAATATTTAATAGGTGTTCACCTAAAGAAAATGGTGATTTGAGGAATTTCTTCTTCAGCATTATAGCTAGTTTGCTACTTATTAAATTAATCTCAGATACCTCCAAGTTATTTGCTGGTTTGGATTCTTAGATAAAAAGGTCCTCTTTCTCTCCCTTGGGAGGGTGAGAAGGAATTAAATAAATTTTAATTATTTCTCCTTGCTTAGTTTTCATTATTTCATATTCTAGGTGAACAAATTTGTGTGAATGTATTATTCTAAAAAGATTTTTCTTCTAGAGATGTTTTACTCTAGGCTATATTGGTCAATTTTTCACTTCTGCTTTATGAACACTGGAGAAAAAAGTGTGATTCTGCCTACTGTAAGATGGTAGCAGTTTGGAGAATATAGGAGACTTGGCATTTTTGGTCAGTAGTAGTGCTAATTTAGCTTGGCACCCTGGGACTTCTTCTAAAAGTGTTAAGTTATATGGAAGATGATGGCAAGACCTAATACCAGTAGCTGTCTAATTTTGATCAGTTAACTTACCATGGTTATACTTCAGATTCCTTATCTGTAAAATGAGGAAGTAGAATCTAGTTCTATGGTTACTATGAGGATTAGATGAGTTAATGTATGTAAATTGCTTAGAATGCTATCTTCCAGGTAGGCGGTGTTCAATAAAATTAGCTGTTATTATGGGGCTAGGAAAGATCAGGGTTGGTCCCTAGATTAGAAAAAAAAAAAAAAGCAGGAGGAAATACTAGGAGATAGCAAAAGAACCATCATACCTAGAGCTGAAAAAGTGTGATTTTCTCTGCCAGGAACTCTCCTCATCACTATTCTTCAGGCCCTGAATCAAATTTTACTTTTTCAGGGGAGCATTTTATGAGGTTTTAGAGCTGGCGTCCTCAAACTATGGCCCACGGGCCCCATGCAGCCTGCCTAGGACATATATCTGGCCTGCCGGGTGTTTTTGCCGCCGCTGCCTGTCCTGCTTAGCTGCCGACCAGTCCCAGGGCCTGCAGTCTGGCCCTCCAATGGTCTGAGGGACAGTGAACTGGCCCCCTGTTTAAAAAGTTTGAGGACCCCTGCTTTAGAGGATACAGGCATCCTTGTTACATGTTTTTGTAGCCATGTACTTTTCTTTCATAGCACCTATAGTAATCTATAATTTTTGTGAGATTATTTGTTCAACAGATGCCTCTCCTAGTAGATTGTCTTCCATAAAGCCATGGACATGTTTGTCTTACATTTTATCTCTAGTACTTAGGACAAGGCCCACCACATGATGATTTTATAATGATGTCTTAAAGGAATGAGTAAGAATCAAAGTAAACTGGAGGACAAATGCAAGGTGCCAATTAAAAGGAACGTCCCTTGGGTACTAAGCTTCTGTAGCTCTAGTCTTTCATATAACTTTGATCTCATTGTGGCAGGCCGGGTGTGATGAAATGACTGGAGAAACCTAGTGAGTAAACAGACACAACAGCTGAGAAAATGAGCTGACACCTAGACTGATGCAAAATAGATTATGATGACAAGTAGGCTAATGTTGCCAGCTTTGGTTTACAAATATTTTAAAATAAGTATCTTACCTAATTAAAAATTCTAAAATTTATTAATAATGTTAATTTTCAGAATTCCATGTATTAGATTTCATAATTTTCTTTATAAAATGCATTATTCTTTATTTTATTTCCTTAATACCAGTAGCAGTATTTTTCTTATTTTACTTGAAAATCTTTCTAATCTTTAATGGAGAGTAAACATTGAAGAGAAAATACTGAGACTGCTTGTTTACTCTCTTTAAATATTGAAGGTAGACAAGTGGAATTTGTTTAATCCTAAATTTTTGAAAGAATTAGGAACCTTTTTTGTTGTTGTTGTTGCAGTTTGGCTGGGACCAGGTTCAAACCTGCCACCCTCCATCTATGGAGCCGGTGCCCTACTGACTGAGCCACAGCCGTCGCCCAAGAATTAGGAACTTTTCTAAGAGATCAAGCCA